GCGGCGCTTCGGAGCCCGTCTCGGAGCATCCTCCCCCGCTGCTGTGACTGCATCGCCCCCGGTGGCAAGTGTAAACGGTGTGCGGGGGCCTCTTCAGCGAATGAGCCCGAGATTCCTGAGTTGGAGTGAGTGAATGAATGAGCGTACGTGCCTGTTTCTCATCCCTGCCCGCTTCTTTGTCCTGTGTCATGATGTTACGGACCTGTACACGTGACTCAGTTTGTCCTGTTTCTTGTACTGAAATAAAAGTTGTATTCCATTGGGCCTTCTGAAAATTGCCAGTGCACGTCACATAGTCACATATCTAATTCCTGTGAATTCACACAGTTTTTGCAGGGACCCATGCGTTTCTGTTATCTAAACTCAAAATGGAATTGGGACTGGGAATGTGACCATTTGGATTTGGGAACTCCCCCCATTTAGAACTACTGAATATGAAAAACTTTTGGCTGCTGTATTTGATATGTTCAAGATGTCTATAAAATACCCTCATTCTTTTGTTGATGCTAACTTTGCCAGTCCCATGTTTTGTTTTGTTTTAAAAGAGAGCCATGACATTTCCTGCGTTGTGAGATTACTTTTAAGATAAACCGTTTGAAGTTTCTTTAACAGTAACCGCATTTGAATACTTTGGTTGGCCTGTTGGTATACATATAAATTTGTACACAGCTTAAAAAGTGTATACTTGAGTGGCAAGCTAGTCTATACTGGAAAGATCTCTCAACATTGAATTGCTAGAAAGGATTTGAAACTTGTTTAATCTACATCTGAAATATTACTGGGCTTGTGTTATTTTATTATGAAACTGATATTTTGGAAGGTTGTTTTGGTTTTTTTTTCCAATTTTAGGTCACAATGGATATTACAAGGAGGAGCTTGGATAAAATTTCAAGGTCTACATCTATCTCAAGATCTTATCCTAACTGTAGGTATTTAAATACATCTATGGAGTTATTAACACCTGAGCCATGTTTGCCAAAGGTAATTCTTTTCACTTTCAGCACGTTAGAAACTCTATGCCTAATTCTTCGTAGTAGAGTGCCAAAGAGATAAGATTCTACTTTTTTAGCTTCATATAGAGTTCTGGGCTTTGCAGGTGTGCTAAGGGTTATGTGAAAGTTCATGAATGTGGGCTGCTCCTTATGCACGCATGGATTGATGTTTAATTTCATTTTTCTGAAGATGTGTTACTCTTTTATTTGCCACAGAAAGGACTATTCGGCACTACAACCTGGAGAACTTGGTTGTCTTCCTCTTTATATTTAATCAGATTATTAAATATATTTTAAGGAAAAACATTTGAAATTCTCAAAATAATGTGTAGATACACAGCTATAGGCTTTGATGCATGAGACAGTGTGTGCATAATTTCACTTCCATCTCATTTGTGCTTTTAAATTTAAGTTGGAATAAAAATTATTTTGCTTATTAAAAGAAAGCATTTGAGCAATCCTCGCAACTTGAATTTTTTGACTACAAGGCTTTCTCAGGATATGTGTGAATCAAGTTTTAAAAAAAATAAATCATAGTATTCCAATAAATATGTCAACTCCAGGGATTCAGCAAAAAGTCCATCGGAAGTAGGTGTTGATCCATCCTCTGAGGAAAATTACTATCGGGGATTAACTTAATTTTGGGAATGGGATGTGCAATATCATTGTGGGATGTAGGAATTAGGACTTGGGAATTAGAGATTTACATTGATTTACTTAGAGTAGTCCAATTGTATTGTACCTCTGTTCACCTGTTTGTAGAATGGGATCATACCTAGATGCTTCACAGCATTAAAATATATTTTTTATAGGTTCACAGTCGAGTATTAAGATTAACATCAGATAACTCTGAATCCAGGTTCTGACCTAAATATAATAGGCTGCTACATGAAAATGCACTTTCTTGAGATTGATGGATTAAGCACAAGCCCTTCAAAAACTATAAAAAACTCTGCAGTATGAGCAAGAGATTGGGATACTACCTGGTGCAGAGCACCCACAGTGTCAGGAAATGGATGAGGCTGTTGTACACACAGACTTTTAATTGATTTGCTGTACCTCTACTGCAGCAGAAATGGCATAAACCTTTGGAATAATTTCCTAGCCTGGCAATCCCAAATCTGGCAGCCTGTGGAATGATGAGTTTGAGAATCAATGTGATATCCAAGAAACAGAACTCTGTATCACATCTGGAAATGGCTCTTTTATTTAAGAAGTACTTTGCAGTCTTGTATAGAATTGTTGTTAGCCTTTGTGATAGTATATGATTATTGCGATTATCTTTTTCTTCCCCCCAAAGATTTCTATTTTTATGGTAGTAATTAATTTGTATTTCATAGGTTGAGTCACCTGTCAGTTTGGCTGGTAGTTATCAAAGGGGCAGTCTAGAAGACTGCTATCCAGAAGAAAACAAAGGTGATGACAGAGAGAAGTCTGATGTCAAGGAAGTAAGAACCTATCAGCAAACTGCAGTGGAGAGTATGACCTTTCTTCAGAAATGTATACTGAATCCCAATGAGTTGTCAGGTGTGGGAATGACTAACGCTTTCTTGTGTTGTGGCTAGACCAAATATCATGTTTGTCTAGTTTGGGTAAAATTCTATTGGTGGAGGGAAAAGAGGATGCAAATAGGCAAAACTCTAGAAGAGAAGATGTCAATATTCATACCTTCACTTCTCTTCACTATTTTGAATCCATTATGACAGAAATGTGTTATTACTGCCATTATCACTACTGTGTATGTCTGGTGGCATCTAAGCTGTGACCTGCACCTTGGTGATAGCCTAAAAGATCAGGAGAAACCATCTGCATGTGTTTCATGGAACCATATTGGAAAGTGTTTTCAGTAAGGTGTTTTTACTAAAGTTTTCACAGAGATTGGGATAATTTGTTAGAAACTTTGTATCCTAATAATGGTCCTCCAGTCCAAAAATTGGAAGTTGTAATTGTAAGTTATAGTATTTAACATCTGAATAATGCTAATACTAATAACATACTTTAAATATAAACATGCAATATCTCATTTTAATGAAAGCACTTGTAGAAGTGCTTCAGAAGGCATTCTTTTGGCATTCTATAAATTGTAATAAATTAACTTTCTAGGGCTTCTGACTATTTAAAAGTAGAGAAGCAAAGGCCAGTATGTGAAGCAGAAAGTTTGTATACCTTCTTCAAGTTTAGATAAGATTTCATGACAGAATTGAGGCCGAAAGAAATCCCTGGATTCCTGCTCCTGTGTTTAACATGAGTCCTGGTGTACTAATATGTACCATTTTTTAAACAGTAATCCACTGCAGAGGCTCTGTGGTGATCCCTAACTGACAAAAAGTGTAGTTTGGTCTCTAAATTGTTAACATTTCAAACAGTATCTTTAAAATTTATTTCACATCTATTTTATTATGAAAGGCTTTTTCCTGTGTTTTTCAGGATGCATCTCTAATTCAGATTCTGGAGATGATAACACTGAAACACAGACTTTGAAATTCTGTGAACCTTCCCAAGAAAAACTAAGTAATGCAAAAGCAGGTATGACTTTTCAGGTGTATAAAGTGAAGAGTGCAATAAAACTTTTTTTTTTTTTTGCCCCTTATTAATGCTTCTAGGAGAGTTTGGGACCATAGTCTGTGTGTATATTATATAGTTATAAAGAAATATTACAAATTGAAATTGTATATGCATTGTGATATTCAAGAGGTGTTGAATTCTTTAGTTAAATAGTATTTTATTAAAGAATGTTCACTTTCTTTAATGATATGACAGTATTTGAGTTTTACATAGATTCAGTCAATCTAATAAGGCAGAATCCTGTGGTGATACTGTCTAGTGCAGCAGTGCTGGTCATCTAACGTAATACTCATTTCTTCAGAAGAGAAACTGGACAGAACTCAACTTCAAAGCTTTACTCAGTAGTTTTAGGTTCAAATCCATCTGCTGGATCCAGGCCAGCTGAAATAAGTGCTCTTTTTTTATCTTCTGTCCTTGGGGCTTCCCTGGAGTTCAGTTAGATTTTTATAGCTCTCCTCTTGTTGTATCATTCATCGCTTTTTATGGCATAAAGCAGAACTATGCATTGCAGTAAATGTTTGGGATCAATGCGTGTGTAAAGAATTTGACCTCAAAAGATTAGAAAATGAAAAAGTGTTGCAGGACTCCAAAACTTGGAAGTCCATTGGATAGGGACAGTGCTACAAGTGTTTCCTTTACAGTTCCTGTGGAAGCAAAGTTTGACCAGAAAAGAGGGCAAAGCATGAGGATGCTATAGGAAGGGGAAAAGCGAAAAGTGATCAGCAATTGTAATCTGCATGTTTAGGAAAAAAAAAAGGGAAATCTATTTTAATTAAATAATAATAGTTTCCATAGTGTTTTACCATTTCTATTTTTCAGAACAACATTTTTCTACAACCAGTATTAGAATCTGGTTTGACTGAGATATAAGTCAAGACTGAAACTTCTATAATGTTTAAAAGTAGAGATATTACATAGTCTATCTTAACCCCAGAATTATTCCTTTTAATGAGTGACATTTCAACATGTATTCTACTAGTCAAGCTGAAGAAATTATTTTTTATTTTTAAGCTTATTTTGTCTGTGATTTTTGCTGATACTGTGGAGATGTTGTCTCTCTTCAATTATAAATTTGAATCAAATCACTTGCCCAAAACGGGGT